ATTGACCATGTGGAGTACCATTGAACTATAATGTAACGTATGAGTACTTGTGGTTGAACGTCAAACCATCCGTTCTTCGACTAAATTTTAGTCCATCAGACGGTTCCATTCTTGTCCTCGCAGCCCTCTTCGAAATATCCCTCACCGGAACCAACGCAAACCTCCTAGACCCCCTCTCCACTCCTCTCCACGCCATCACAAAACCAGACAGCTCAACCACCACTGGCCCACTCTCCTTCTCCAACATCACGAATTTCTTCAACACCGTTTCCCTATTCAAATATACGGGATCGTTGACGACACCTCCGTGCACTGACGGCGTCATTTTCCTCGTCGCGAATACTTTCCTGCCGATTAGCCCGAAAGCGTTTTTGGAGTTTAAGAGTGTGTTGAAGTTTAATGCGAGATATGTGCAGAATGCGCCGGGGGAGAAGAATTTGATTGAAGTGGCTGCGGGTCAGTTGCCAAAGTAGACTTGGACTGTATTTCATTTTTTTTCGTCGTCCTTTCCGTTCCTTTTATTTCTGTTATTGTACTTACACCGTTAATGAAAGTTGATTATGGGGCACCATTCTATATACACAAGTATCATCGTGAGGTGCTGGTGAAAATCTGGATCGGCCTTTACTTCATGTCATAAGTTAAATCATTGACAATAGCAAAATATACAGCGTTTGAATCTAAAATATGTAAAAATATTGGACAAGAAAGTATACACGTCCGACAACTAACTCCGAGTCTGAACGCCCATAAAGGTTAATAAACTAATTGTTTTCGAGGCGCTAGGACTTTGACAAACCTGATGCCCATACCCTGAAAGTGCGTGATTACTGTTCATTGAACTTGCGCAAATGATATTGAATCCAGACTGTAAACTTAATGAAATCTGTACAAGAAAGTCAAAACACAGGGAGGAAAAGACATATAAAGGGAGACGAGGGAATGTCTGGGTAGATATCTTAAATCCGGTTAGTATCATCCATCCTTGCCACTAGTATCTACTTCGTTTCTGAGTCCTGAATCCTAACTATACTTGCTCGAGCCCGCGATTATGCGCTTGCTGTCAAAGATTGCAACAGACGTGACCGGATGTTTGGGCTGTCGGAATGGCTCACCCACTGGCTTCCCCGTCTCTGCATCCCAAATCCAAATTGTGTTGTCACGCGAGCCAGAGATTACGCGCCTGCCCTCATGCGAGAATGCCACAGACATGATCGCATCTGTGTGTCCTTGGAATGGCTCTCCTACTAGCTCCCCCGTCTCCACATCCCATATCCGAACTGTTTGGTCGCGCGACCCCGAGACTACGCGCCTGCCGTCAGGCGAGAATGCGGCAGAGTTGATAGAATCGGTGTGTCCTTGGAATGGCTCTATCACTGGCTTCCCCGATCCTGCATCCCAGATCCGAATTGTCTTGTCGACCAAGCCAGAGACTACGCACCCGCCGTGAGGTGAGAATGCCACAGACATGATTGCATCTGTGTGTCCTTGAAATGGCTCTCCCACTGGCTTCCCCGTCTCCACATCCCAGATCCAAATTGTCTTGTCATCTGACCCCGAGACTACGTGCCTGCCGTCAGGTGAGAATGCGACAGAATTGATACAATATATGCGTCCTCGGAATGGCTCTCCCACTGGCTTCCCTGTCTCTGCATCCCAGATCCGAAGTGTTCCATAGAATGAGCCCGAGACTACTCGCCTGCCGTCAGGCGAGAATGCGATAGACTCGATCTGACCTGTGTGTCCTTGGGATGGCTCTGCTACCAGTGGCTGCCCCGTCTCTGCATCCCAGATCTGAATTGTCCCATCCCACGAGCCCGAGACTACGCGCCTGCCATCAGGCGAGAATGCGACAGACCTGACCACATCTGTGTGTCCTCGGAATGGTTTTCCCACTGGCTTCATCGTCTCCACATCCCAGACCTGAATTATCATGTCACCCGAGCCTTGAAAGACTACGCGCCTGCCGTCAGGTGAAAATGCGACAGATGTAATCCATTCTGATTGTCCTTGGAATGGCTCTCCCACTGGCTTCCTTGTCTCTGCATCCCAAACCTGAATTGTCCTGTCACCCGAGCCCGAGACTACGCGTGTGCCGTCAGGTGAGAATGCGACAGATGCATCAGTAGAATCACAACCCCTTTCACTTTCACTTTCAGGCGCTTTCACTTTCACAACCCCTTTCACTTTCACTTCCAGGCGCTTTCACTTTCAAATCACTTTCAATTAACTTTCAAGGCACCTTTTCCCGCCCTTTCGGGTCTTTCCCCCTTTGGACCTCTTTCAAATTTGTTGATCAATATATTTTATAGAGTCGCATAGGTAGCATTCGGGGTGAAGATCTATCATCTAATAATGAATTTTCAGTGAGGATTAAAGAGGTAGAAGATGTGTTTTCCATGCCAAAATCTGTTGAAGGCTGTCGATCACGCGACATGTTGAACATCCGAATTTGGAAATTTTTGGACTTGTTAACTTTTCCGTTACACTACCTCTGTCCCTTCCCCTCCTCTGGCGCGCGATGTCTTCACGATTGGGTATGTGTCTGGCCAGCACAAATCCTTTTATGATGACATCGACGTGGCTTATCGCCGTCGTCAGGTTTGATTCCAGAAGCAGCAGCCCGCCTCACCCAAGCCCCGCGACTCCCGTCGCATCACAAGCCCATGGTGGTTTCAGCTACCAGCAAAGTACACACCACGCCACTCAGGTCGCTTCGCCCTTCCGAAACGAAAGTCGCACAGGCGAATGACCAGCGTGCACTGCACAGATCCCGTTCCTGGCCTCACCGCTTGAGGCTGTCCCAGAGTCGGACAACGAGGAAGAGAGACCATTGCTTACGTTTTGTAAGTTTCTCCTCTCGTCTTACTGAAGGAGGACTGATAGTGCATGCGTAGCCCTCCCTAGGGTTTTGCATGACCACATCTACAACTACGCTCAGCACCGACCGACCTCGCACCCTTAGACCACGAGCATCAAGCCTTCTCCCCTGGTCCGAACCCGGGGACGCGCATCATGGTGGAGGTGCGGGATATGGATGGGGTGTCGTCGCTTGGTTGTTTGTGTTCCCCTCGTCTGTGAGTACGCATTCGCCTGACAAGGCGCTCCTGACCTCGGTGACGATGGACGACGTCTCTTCGCATCTGGTCAAGGCGGCCTGGTGGGTGTTTTTTTACCACTCGTCTCTACCCGCGACACGTCAAGCCTGCACCGCCTGGCTCAAAAAGCACGTTCGCAATGCCTACTCACTCGAAACGAGCAGACGAGCAGATGCCGTGGAATGCCTTGGCCACTACTAGACGATGACTCGTCCTGAGTGCGTCCTTCCTTCCTCTCCCCCCCTTCCTTTCTGACTCTCGATATCCATCCAGCTGAACAACTCCGCGCAACGTCGAATCTGAATTACACAACTCCTCAATCACAGCACAGCAAGCACGGTGGGACTATGGTCAAGCTTTGCAGTGGGTCGGCGAGACTGTTGCGGCAAAGGTTCCCCAGGCCACAACCCCTTCCAGCGAGTCTGATTTCGAGTTAGCGAGGACATTAGAGGGTTAGCGTCGTTCTAGTAGTAATTACTACCATTGTTTCTATCAAATATCAGAAATCTATTCACTTTTGCCTACTTTTAAGCCCCTTTCAAGTCACCTTTTGAAAGCTGCACCTCTTTCATGGTCCCCTTTTGAACCACTTTCAGCCCCTTTTGTCCCTTTTGAAAGCGGAAATCCCTTTTCAAACAATATGGCCTGGGCTTCCAAAAGCGGAAACGCTTTCATGCTTTCACGCTTTCAAAAGCGGTGAAAGCGGCTAAAGCCGGACTTGTAATTTTACTGATGTGTAATCCATTCTGTGTGTCCTTGGAATGGCTCTCCCACTGGCTTCCCCATCTCAGCATCCCAGATCCGAATTGTCTTGTCGTCTGACCCCGAGATCACGCACCTGCCGTCAGGTGAGAATGTGACAGACCTGATCCAATGTGTGTGTCCTTGGAGTGGCTCTACCACTGGCTTCCCCGTCTCTGCATCCCAGATCCGAATTGTCTCGTCCCACGAGCACGAGACTATGCGCCTGCCGTCAGGCGAGAATGCGACAGACACGACCATATCTGTGTGTCCTCGGAATGGCTCTGCTGCTGGCTTCCCCGTCTCTGCATTCCATATCCGAATTGTCCTGTCGTACGAGCCCGAGACTACGCGCCTGCCATCAGGCGAGAATGCGACAGACACGACCATATCTGTGTGTCCTTGGAATGGCTCTCCCACTGGACTTCCTGTCTCTGCATCCCAGATCCGAATTGTCCTGTCGTATGAGCCCGAGACTACGCGCCTACCGTCAGGCGAGAAAGCGACAGACACAACCATATCTGTGTGTCCTCGGAATGGCTCTCTGCTGGCTTCCCCGTCTCTGCATTCCATACCCGAATTGTCCTGTCGTTTGACCCCGAGACTACGCGCCTGCCATCAGGCGAGAATGCGACAGACACGACCATATCTGTGTGTCCTCGGAATGGCTCTCCCACTGGACTTCCTGTCTCTGCATCCCAGATCCGAATTGTCTTGTCGTCCGACCCTGAGACTACGCGCCTGCCGTCAGGCGAGAATGCAACAGACCTGATGCAACCTTCGTGTCCACTCAATACGAAGATGGAAGCTGGGGTAAGAGCAATGGGTTCAGTCCTTCACAAAAGAAGAATGGTGGCTTTCACTTACGATTCAAAAACTGCTGTACAAACTGTTGTGCTGTCTCCTGGTAGCGTGTTTCATTACTATGTCCAAGGTCTACTACGAGAGGACAGATGTCAATCGACGGACTTAGTTTCAAACTGGCTCGATGCCAAACACGCCCTAGGATGTTTACTGTGTTGTCCAGGAGTTGAAACATGATCTCAGGGTTGAGAGCAGGTTTCTTCAGCTCAACAATGACTTGATCGTACAGTGCTTGTCCTCCATCCGCTAAATGTGGCCATATGTGAGCTACGGAAATTTTTGAGGTACTGAGCAAGTTTACCCCCAGTTGCAATTTGGCGCAAAAATCAGCCACACAGTACTATCATGCTGCTTGATGAACTTCTCCACATGGGCGCGCACAGCGTCGAACAAGTCCAATTCCAGCCAATTGCCGAGCCCCTCCTCACGCACTCTCTCCCAGAATAATAGATCGTCATCCAAAGGACGTGCCTGTGGAGTGTACCCCGGCGTCAAATTACCGGCCAGCAAGAGAGAACCATGGATCTTCTGATTAGCGTGTATTTTTCGGCTTGACCCGAGGTGAGGCCTAACAAAACAGTTAGTTGAGGCAGTGCCTCGCAGTTGGAGAATACTTGCTTGTGAGTCGTCTTTTTTCCATCATCGCCCCGCCTCGTGTATGTCAATCTTCTTAAGGGCAAAATCTCAAGCGGCCACCACAACCCCTGCAAAGACTTCTCGACATTAATCTGCTCGTTAAGCTCACGCCCGAATGGTTTTGTGCGAAGACCGAGCGCCCCCGCTTGAAACGTCATCCACCTCAGAGCAGGTCCATGACGACCTCTAAATGTAAAGACATGACAAATTGAACCCTCAGGTGGACAGGTAAATGTACTTACATATCCGAGTGCGCGCCCGGAAACCAGACTTCCATGGTTTGCTTTACCAAGGCTCCATGCTTGACACTTGTAGGATTCTTGTCGTCTGGTTTTGTGGCTAAACCTCCATAAGCATACTCGGGCAAGAACCTGACCCGTTTCTCGTCGAGCGCCAGTGCATGGCGGAAGAAGCAGACATGTTTCATCCCGTCGATCGTCCGAGGAAGCATCTTGTCGCGTGCAATCCCGATGGACGAGACGGTATCCCTAAAACTCTTATCGTAAGTGTACAGGGTTCCATAAAGGCAGAGTATGCATTACATACCAGGCACCAACGAAATGCACTCGTACATCTTTGTATGAGAAGATCTCCTTGAAACGCTTGGCGCTCGCTAAGGTTGGTTCATCACTTTTTGGGTCCACATAAATTTCGTATGCACTGAAGATTAAAATTGATCAACGAACAATAAGGTATGCGATATTTTGAGCGCACAATGGGATCTGCATCTCATTTCCCTTATGGATCAGGCCGACCTAAAATTTTCCGAAGACATCAATTGGGGCTGCAAGTCTTCTCAGAACGTAGCACACCTTGTCAATCATTGCCGAGAGTACGCGAACTTGGAATGCGCCACGAGAAAACCCTGTAGATCCCTCAGTATCGACAGACACACGAGTGATATCGTTCTAACGCACCGAAAAGAAATATACAATCCCCAGGCTCATAGTTATCAGACAACCAGCGATATGCACCCAATATTGTTCGTTTAAAATGCCTGAACGAGGAAAGAGGTAAAAGAAAAGCAAGACATATGAGGTGACCACTCAGCGCACCGTGCGACCGCCAAATCGATCTTATGAGAGAGGACCTGTCGGTAGGATTTGAACGATGTCCAAGATGCCTGGGCGTACGTCCCGATACCACTGTTGTACCAAGTTTTCTGGTTCCCGCTCTCCTTTAGGATGCAATTGTACAATTCGATAACATTTGTGTTCTTTCAAGAACGTCAGCAAGTGGTGCCGCTGGACAGCCTCGCAAACGCATACCTTCTCTCCGAACTGATTTGCGGTACCGTCGATGCAAACGATGAGGTTTCTACCACCGATCTCATGCTCACATGTGTGCGAGGTACCCGCAGTTGCTTATCAAAGAAAGATCAGGGTTGTTCATAAAAGTGCAGATGCAGACGAGGTAGTGCTTAGATCTCTCACCTTCCATGGAGGAAAGGAAAGTGGGTAACTGTGATGGAATGGAGGGAGGTAAGGAGAGTGCTTACTGGATGTTGCTCCAGATTATGGAGAAGCGCCGGGACTAGCTCGAAGCAGTTGTAAGCGGGTGACATGTCGACAGGATACACGGTAGGAACGATCGAGGTATTGTTGGATTTTGGGCGTCTGTGAATACTTACTGGGAGTTCACAACACCAGTGCAATCGGACTCAGAGCCCCTCGTGACTCACCAAAAAGGTTTGCGTGATCACCCCACGCTAAAAATAGATACTTACTCCTTGACGTTGAGTTCAGGACGATGCATTCCTATCAGCCGTTTGCACATCGAGTTTCTTAACTTGTGTTTGTAATTGTGTAAGTATTCTGTTACGGAACAGTGACATATGAGTAATCTGCCACTGGCTCATCTCTAGGCCACACTACTGGCACCAACACGATTCCAAGGAGGTCCTCGCTAAAACGGCAACATTTTATTATAGCTTCAAGAGAATATATCCATACAAATCCGTCATCTCAATGATGTGCTCCAACATGCTAGACGTCAACTTAAAGTAGGTCACCGCACGGCGCAAGAAGAGCACTTGATTTCCTTTGTCAGTTAATCAGCCAACGACTCGGATCAACCATCGACGAAGTTGCGCTCAGTCTAGATATTGCGGTACATCCGGGGTTAGCTCTCAAAGTGGATGTAGTGTAAAAACAGTGCCGGGAGGAGGAGTATTTGACTTTGTAAACGTGCAATGGTACCTGCGTTTGAAGCGCCTGGGGTAGTCATCGTACGTAGAAGGAGCGCTCCCCAAGCCAAACTCGGAGATAGTTGGAGGAGGCTGAGGCATCGCTTGTCCACCGTACGCGTATTGTGGGTAGTACGGAGCAAGTCGGTAACCGTAGGGCGGGCAGGGCGTTTGACCCGGAGAATCATATGACATGCCACTGCAGGCGGAGGATACGGGAATGGATACAGGTTTTGGCTTGGTGGGTATTGGCATGCCAGAGGAGGAGGGACTGATGTGGGTTGGCTGTTGGCGTGAAAGATTAGTGAGGTGAGATTTCGGTGGAGGGTGAAAAACGCGACTTACGAAGCATCTTGCGGACGGCTAGTTAGGAGGAGGAGAGGACATTGGGCCCAATGAAACCGACTCCTATTCGAGACAACGATGCTGCGCACATTAGCAGGGCATGGAGTCTGAAAAGTAATCCTGTGGGTTGTGAACTTGAAGTTTTATCCACAAAAAATACAACAGCTCCAAGACGAATCGGAGATATACTCAAGTGTTAGCGACGGCGGAGGGTTCAAGCTGGCGTCGGAATAAATACACAAGAAAAGAACAAGAAATTGCCAGTGAACGTACGACGTCAGTCATTCCTGCCCAAATCGTTCACCAGCACCATGGCAATCCTGAGAGCTGAAAGAGAGTATTCGAGCGAAGCGGCCTCAGCCCTCCCTCTGAAATCCTTACCGTGACGTGACGGACCAAGGCGGCCGTAGGCCATGACTTGGAGGAGAACAAGAAGAAGACACGTTCACGTTTCCCAGAAGTAACCAAGTTCGAGATACGTGGATCCTAACGGGAAGAATTTGTGTGAACCCAGTACCGGCTCCCAGCGTCTAACTTGACATCGTGTAGAAGCGCCACGAGCGCCTACATAAGTGGAGCTATTCGTTGGCAAATCTTGGGAAAAACGAGGCCGCAGTTAAGGTGCAGGTCCAGTAGGAAAGGCATCCTGTGGCTTGATTTGCTCCGTGGCCGACAAAAAGTTGTCTCGATGTCAACGATTGGAAGAGTGGACGGCATAACCTCACCTCGCGTTTTCTCAAGGGAACTTGCCACATGTACTCGTTCGCTAATGACTCGAGATGGTGCCTCCATTGACTGAACAGTGACGTAATGCTAGCGCTGAGAAGAAAGCGAGTAAGTAACCAAGAGTTGAAGTTGTTCGATATGGCATCTGAGGAAAGCGTTTCGCCTTGTGTTTCTTGGAGCCTGCTACGGCCGCTTGTGCTTGTCTCGTGTCCTTGAGGCTGCAAGACTGAGCCATAACGTAACACTGAAAATAAAACGAGAATCGAGGACTATGAGCAAAGAAGCTGAAGCTGTTTACTTCCCCTGCTAGACCTCGTGTCTTCAATTGGGGCTAGCTTGCGGCGTGTGCTGCGGAGGCCATGTGTCTTGGAGACGCTGCATGAGTGTTGAGGCCTGAGGCGTAACGTAACACTTACAAGACATACCGCTAAGTGACGAAATTGAGAATCGCTAGGTAATAGGTATCAAAGTTGAGAATGTATGTTGGGGGCGGGGGAATAAATCGGTAGCTTTACCTTTGGCAATAGTACATTCGGGAGGTGATAGAGGGGTTGATTTTACAAGTTGATTGTCGATTGCCCTTGGCCGAAAACGTTGGACACGAGTCAGCAAATCATAGATAGAACATACCCATGGGGAGAAATGATGACTCTCTGCCCGAGCACGTTTCAGACGGAATGAACGCGGGGATAAGGAATATGACGCACCGTTACCGTAGTACGCGGTCGAGGGCTTCCGTCCGTCCAGTCGTTTTGGGGAGCACCTATGTTGATCTTGCGTCTATCGTCCTAGGATGCTGTTAGATAACGCGAGAGATCATTGGGGCCCCACTCACTATATATGATGTGTACTCCGAAGATACAGCGAGTTCCCCGTACGGAGTCGGGAGAAATGAACTTGGATCCGAAAAATTGCGTAGGCAAAGTTCGACCATACAACCTGTTAAAAATTTTATCTTGTCAGTTCGTGTTTCAGCCACCCTCAGCATGAAAATTTCGGCCGCTGAAGCGGTTTCGGGGACGGGGAGTGGAGTTGTTGCAACGAGGCCAACACGTGTCTGGTGAGAAAGAAATATTTTACAAGGATTCCCCCGGCTTGCCTCATGACCACCATGTGCCGCCTCTAAAACTCCCAAAATCCGTTTCGATGCCATTATAGACGCCCAACCGATTGCGAGATACCGATCTTGCCCTTTACCAACGAAAAACAAAACAACGATCACCATGATTCATTCTACCACCGCCCAAGCGTCCTATATCCATTCTCCAGCATCCGTAATCCCATTCTAAGCCGTTTATAAACCTCCTCGATATCTCTTCTGACATCTTGATCAATCCGCACCCAGCCATCTTCATCTGCAATCCCATCATGCCTTCGTCAACAGTACAAACGATGCCAGGACCCAGTAGAATGCCAGCCCAAAACTCTCTCAGCCACTCGAACAGCTCATTCTCATTGCGGAATTTTGTAGCCGAGGAAGACGGCTTCAGCGCTGCTATGCTGAAATCCGTGGATAAGGATGCGTTCCTTGCAGCACAGCGTCAGGCGCTCGCTGCTTTCGATGATGCAGCTCTTGCGAAGGCTCTACAGGCGTCAGAGGAAACGGCTGCGGAGGAAGCGAGGAAACGGAGAGCAGCTGCCCATCTCCCGCCTAGCGTTGAGAGGACGCCACCACCACCATCGGCGCCGATCCAAGTCCCAGACCAACTTGCGAGGGCTCTGCAGGCTTCAGAGGAAACAGCTGCAGAGGAAGCGAGGAAACGGAGAGCAGCTGTCCATGTTCCACCGAGCGATGAGAGGACGCCACCACCATCAGCGCCTATCCAAGTTCCAGTCCAACTCGGGAGGGCTCGGCAGGCTTCAGAGGATCCAGCTGCAGAGGAAGCGAGAAAACGGACCGCCGCTGCCCAAGTTCTATCGAACGATGGGAGGACGCCACTTAATTCTATATCACCACCATCAGCGCCTATTCGAGTCCCAGTCCAACAGCAACATGAATCACGATATATCACAGACGAAGAAGCAGCACGATCGCTTGCTCGTTCGTGGCGCGTAGACGCGCTCCAACCTGCCCTTCTTGATTCCTCGGCGATAACAGCCGTATCTATTCCAGCATCTTCATTTATTCATGCACAATCACCTTCAGCATCAGCATCAGCAATTGTTACGCCACACGTATCGATATCGACGTCACCACGCGAAAACTCACGAATCTACCCCAGTGATCCTTCATCCCGTCGTCCACGAGCTCCATCAGCTGCAAAACCTCCTCTTCAATCTCTTTCGTCATCGTCAAAAGTTAGGGTGGAAGATATGGCACCCCCAGCTAGGTCAGCCACCGTGGAGGGTTATAAAGCCCAGAGAAGTGGATCGGTTGCAGGCCCATCGAATCCATCATCATCCCCACCATCAATGTCCCCATCGACTTCCCCGCCCTCACGTACACATACACATTCCAGACAGCCATCTGTCGGGACTGGGCCCATCACCAGCTCTTCTTCCCGGCGTGCACGCGCACCTTCCGTCTCAGCTCCACCGCCAGACCCATCCTCATTCTCACCAACACAACCAGGACAAGATACCCATGGCATGACACCGTCCATCATCTCCCACTCACCATCATCAGCAACAACAACGAAATCACGACCTATAGAAAAAAAAGTGTCAGCCTCCGCGCGGGATCTTCGTCTCGGCTTGACGATGACACCTACGCCATTAGTAACGCCCACAACGCGGCCGGCTACGCGTTCTAGGGCACAAAATATATCGCCTGAGCACGAACCTTCGCATCACCGCGATTTTTTTACTGCGAGTAGACGGTGTTCGAGGTGTCGTGAGGTTGTTAAAAGTCCTCGATCTTCCGTATGTTCTTCTTTCGTTCTTGTCTTCTTCACGCTGATTTACCTTTCACACAGTCAACCGAACCCTTCTCCCCCCGGCTCCTCCACCTCCCTTGCGCATCCTGCAACACAAACCACTGCAGGGGATGCTTCAAACCCACGCGGTGTCCACCCACCTGCTCCGGTGGCGCATCATGCCCAATCCGAACCTGCTGCTCTGCCATCTGCGCCATTGCCCTATTCGAAGTGCTGTGCAGCTTCGATAAGGAATACGCGGGGTTCGTTGCGAATTTGACAACGAGGGAGTTTATCAATGTGGTGATTGCACGCACGGATAAGAGGACGAGGGCTTTCGAGGGGGTGTTGGTGGGTACGTTGAGGAACGTATCGAGTTGGCTTCTTCAGGCTGCTTCCCTTTCCTCTGCGTCTGAATTCGAGTCGTCGTCTGGATCGGGGATACATCCCTCCATCCCACGACTATTCACGGTCTCCCACCTCCCCGGAGTGATGTACGCTTTCCTATCCCACACACTTGGCGCAGAGCGCGATTGGGTGGTGCATAGCGAGATATACATCGCGCTGATGGACGTGGTCAAGCACCTCTCTTCGAGTTCGGTTGCTGGAGTGGTGAAGGAGCCTGTGAGGAGGGTTGAGGAGAGCTGTGGTGTGCAGGCGTGGATGTGGGATCGGGGGGAAGTTGTTTGGGTTCGTGAGGGGGAAGCGGATGGGCAAGAAGGAAGGAGTTTGGGAGATGCGGTGAAGAGGTTGGAGAGGCATCGGCAGGGATTGGAGAGGTATGGGAATAAGTTCAAGTTTGCGGCTATGGCGGAGAAGATTGAGATGCTTTGTGAGGGGATTTCGTATTTGTTGTTTCAGCAGCTTGTTGGGGGGTGATTGAGGGCGTTGGGTGTGGTTGGGTGGAGGAGGTTATCATTATTGCATACGGTCCCAGGTGGTCTCTGCTCGCAAGCCTTTTCTCTTTTCCTATTTTTTTCAGAATTTGGTTGCATATACATAGACGTCCAAGGACATTCATTTACTTACACTACGTGTATACTTTCTGGTTCAATATTTTACATATGTAATGTCGATGGAATGTGTTTCAGATGAGCGCCGTGCAGTTCGCTATTGGTTTAGGCCAGCTACATATATAGAGGTCATGTTGGAATCAGGCATTTGACATGACATTCACGGGTCCTCCACTTGTCCTCCACCAACCCGGACAAATTTACCACTTCTGAGGGTAGGCCAGGTACAATCCGGACAGAAACTGCCAAATGGCGTCCGGACAAAACCCCCATTTTCGGGATCAGACCATTTGTGCTATTCTTGCTGAGATCTACTGAGATGCCCTCAATCGAATAAGTACCTCGATCGTTCCCAGTACCGTGTATCCTGTCAAGATGTCACCCGCTTACAACTACATACGGCGTAGCCTCGACGCTTCTACATAATCTCGAGCAACGTCCAGTGAGCACTCTCCTTACCTCCCTCTATTCCACCCCATTAACCGCTTCCATTTCCTCCATGGCAGACGATCCTATTCCCTCTGTTAAAGGCCAGAAATGTAGGTACTACAGTTGCGGACAAACAAACACATCAAATCGGGTATCTCAGGAATGCGAATTTTCTGGCAAAAACCGACGACAGATTTGAATCCGGACGGTCGAATACAGCCTAAAAACACTGTTTCTATGAAATTCCCACGAGGTTTTGGCGGCGCCAAATTTTTTGGCCAAAATTTCGCAACTTTTTGGCCTGTCAAGAGGGTCCTGCAGTGCCAAACCACGCTGATGACTCCAAAGTTACTCGGCCCCCACCAACCTGAGACAATATGCACCAGTAACCCATCATATTTTGACAGTTATGGGTAAAAAGGTACATTCACATAAAATTCACACTATAAAAATGGTCCATTGTTTGCACTTTAGAGCCAACTTGGGTATTATTTTATGCGAGAACAGCTCGTAAGAAAGTTCTAATTTTTTGGGATCAGAATCCATTCCTCAAAAGCTGTTCAAAAATGAAATTTTCGAGATTTTAGCGATTTTTTTTCGACACACGCCAATTTTTTGGGTGATTTTTTGGCCAAATTGTCGAAATTGAAAATTCTGCTCATGCAAATGGATGAATTAGAAGTAATCCTTTCTATTTCAATGCTTTTTAGTGGGTTTAAACTCATGTGGTGACGGACATAAATGGTAGAATAAATTTGATGCGTTTGTTTGTCCGCAACTGTATCTCGTCCACATCTGTCCTTTGATGAACAACCCTGATCTTTCTCTGATAAGCGACTGCGGGCCCTGTCACTACCACAGAAATCAAACCACTGTGTAAGCATAAGATCGGTGGTAGAAACCTCATCGTTTGCATCGACGGTACCGCAAATCAGTTCGGAGACAAGGTATGCGTTTGCGAGGCTGTCCAGCTGCACCACTTGCTGATGTTTTAAAAGAACACAAATGTTATCGAATTGTATCATCGCATTTTAAAGGAGGTCAAGGACAACCAGAAAACTTGGTACAACAGTGGTATCGGGACGTACGCCCGGCCATCTTGGAAATCGTTCAAATTCTACCGACAGGTCCTTTCTCATAAGATCGATTTGGCGATCGCATGGTGCGCTGAGTGGTCACTTTATATATCTTGCTTTTCTTTTACGTCTTTCCTCATTCAGGAATTTTGAACGGACAGTCTTGGGTGCATATCGCTGGTTGTCAGACAATTATGAGCCTGGGGATTGTATATTTCTTTTCGGTGCATTAGAACAATATGTGATTTGTTTGTCTGTCGATGCTGAGGGATCTACAGGGTTTTCTCGTGGTGCATTCCAAGTCCGCGTACTCTCGGCAATGATTGACAAGGTGTGCTATGTTCTGAGAGCATTAACAGTCCCAGTTGACGTCCCTGGAAAATCTAGGTCGGCCTGATCCATAAGGGAAATGAGATGCAGATCCCATTGTGCGCTTAAATTATTTTATACCTTATTCGTTGATCAATTATCTTCAGTGCATACGAGCTATATGCAGACCCGAAAAGTGATGATGAGGAATTAAGTCCAGTGACTCAAGCTGGATCGCCTCCGGAGAAGAAGCTCAAGAGCAGCGCTGCCGAGCGTTTCAAGCGGACCTTCTCAAACAAAGTACGGGTGCATTTCGTTGGTGCCTGGTATGTACTACGTACTCTGCCATTATGGAACCCTGTACGCTGACAAGAAGAGTTTTAGGGATACCGTCTCGTCCATTGGGATTGCACGCGAAAAGAAGATGCTCCTTGGGACGGTCGACAGGATGAAACATGTCTGCTTCTTCCGCCATGCACTGGCGCTCGACGAGCGACGGGTCAAGTTCTTGCCCGAGTACGCTTATGGAGGTTCGGTCACTGGCGAAACTACCCAATATATATCCCCAAGTGACGGGGTGGACCACTCGAAGGGCATGGACAAGGTGCATCCACAAACCTTGGAAGTCTGGTTTGCGGGCACACACTCGGATATGTAAGTACATTTACTTGCACATATGTTAGTCATGTTGTGCCTTACCTAATGGAGTAGCCAGACGTGACAAAACACCATACTATATGGCCCCAGCCGGACGGCCGGAATCTTATGATGTGCCTTTAGTGATGGTGCGGCCGCGATCCTTACAGGGACTCACTAGCACGCGCCGGCTGTCCTTTTCACCAACACTGTAGTGTCTCACCGGCGGTCCTGATGCATGGTATCGACCGGCAGGGAAATTTGCGGTGCACCCTGTCCTCTGGCGGCACAAGTTGCGGTGTACCATGTAAACATAGATGGTGATCATACATAGTGATAGGCCTGCAGTCATCAGTTAAATGTCATGAATGTGAGCCATTACAACTGAAAAACATACTGAATGATTACAGCAAGATGCAAAAACGTAGACACCTCTCCAAATTTCCCAGACTCCGCCTCGCTTTGTACAAACAACCGCTTTAGGAAATGAGCGGGTGCGAGTGACGCAAGCATTCTGTTCTCGCTCCACCAACCTCCACTTCGTCCATTCGCTAGCATCTCATCTATGTCATTTCCTATCAACCCTCGTAACAATGAGATGCCGTTTTTGTTCGGCAGATATAAAGCAGTAGTTCCCTGACATATTTGAAGATGGGAAAAGAGAAATTATATAGAAGTACCATATTTGTAGGAGTATATATAATAAAATGGCGCGCCATGCAAGCGCCATGAAGTCACTATGACGCGTCGTGCGGCGGAGTTGCACCAAATGCGGTTGTTTGTACAAAGCAAGGCGGAGTCTGGGAAATTTGGAGAGGTGTCTACGTTTTTGCATCTTGCTGTAATCACAATGAGAGTCCTACTGCAAGGTGATGAGATGCTGTAATTTCTTTTGAAACACAAGCAGCCTTCATTAACTATTGTCTATAGCATGTCCCCCAGAAATACAGCTGAATACAACACACCAGCAGAACACCTTCCAATAAAAACACATTGCCTTTTCATAGGAGACACTTTTTAAATAGCTGTGTTGGAGGTCCAGATATATATAATGAAGCTCTGTTGCAGCAGTGGAATTTTTTCAAAGAGGCTCCGCAAGAGCAATCTATTTTTTTCAAATGGCACTGCAGGCACAATGTATTATTTTAAAAAATGGCACCGCCGGAGCAATGTATTTTTTTAGATGACACCGCCGGAGCAATGTTTTTTTTATTTATAAATGGCACCGCCGGAGCAATGTATTTTTTTTCAAAAATGGCACCGCCGGGGCAATGCAAATATTTTTAACAATGGCACCGCCGGGGCAATGTATTATTTTTTTAAATGGCACCGCCGGGGCAATGTATTCTTGTTTAAAATGGCACCACTGGAGCATAAATAGCACCGCATTTTTACAAATGGCACCGCCAGAGCAATATGTTATTTTTTAAAATGGCACTGCTGGAGCAATGTATTTTTTTTCAAAAATGGCACCGCCGGGGAAATGTATTATTTTTTAAAATAGCACCGCCGGGGCAATGTATTCTTGTTTAAATGGCACCACTGGAGCATAAATAGCACCGCATTTTTACAAATGGCACCGCCAGAGCAATGTATTATTTTTTTAAATGGCACCGCCGGAGCAGTATATTTTTCTCAAATGGCACTGCTGGAGCAATGCAATTTTTTAAACAAGGCTCTGCCTTTGAAATTGCTCTGGCAGAGTAGTCCTTGCATATTTTTTGAAATACAAAAATCTTGTTTAGGGCAAAGAACACTAGAATTAAATAGACAGTTGATACATATGATTACTAGTAAATGGGCGGTACTGCTGAGGTTTTCTTGTTTTCTTCTGCATATGTTTTCTATGGGGGGACTAAGTGGTGGATTGCAGAGGGTAGATTGCAGGTGGTAGATTGCAGCTGCAGGGGATAGATTGCGGAGGGTATATTGTGGGGGATAGATTGCAGAGGGTATATTGCGGGGGATAGATTGCGGAGGGTAGATTGTGGCTGCGGTGGATAGACTACAGAGGGTAAACTCATCTGGATCCTTCATAGGGGTTTGGAAGCCAAGTATATAAACCTCTGTACATGCTCACAAGTGTGTTTTGAAGAGTCACTTATGTGAAATGTACCTTTTCACAGATTGTTTCAGCTCTGCAGAACATAATAATGGCTGTTACCTCATGTAAAAGCCACCTCTGGAAAGCTGGAGAAGTCAGGATTTGAACAAGCTAGGCCCGACGATAAGTTGTTTGGGGAAAAGAAAAGTCTTGATGGTTTCTATCATAAAAAGTACCATTTCACAGGTTGTTTCAGCCCCGCAACATGTAATAATGACTTTTGACTCATGTAAAAACCACCCTTGAAAAGCTTGAAAAAGCATAATTCTAACGAGCTAGGCCCGACGATAAGTTGTTCAAAAAAAAAAAAAAAAGTCTTGATGATTTTCGTTGTAATGCCACAATGCAGTCAAGGTTTGATAGAGATTATCAACATAAAACCCTCTTTTCTGTGTTTGTCAACAAAAACAAAACATCTCTTGAAGATTTTAACATGGTAATTACCATGGCATTGAGGTCTATCAGCTGGCTGGTTTTCAGGTTACA